TATGGATTACTATGCAATTTAATTTTAATTAGTAATATTTATTCAATTATAATTTAAATAGGAAATAAAATTTGTGCGCACCCGCGCATGTGCGCACCCCTCCATTTTTGGTAATTTTTATATAGTAAATTTGTCGATCATTAATTATCACGTGATTTTAGTAAAATCCCGATTTTTTTAAATATTCATGCCGCAACTCTCACGTACATATTATAGAGCCTTAAAAATTTATTTACTATGCGTAATTTTGCCTATTCTACAACTTTACTTAATGAGCCATGAAGGGTTTAGAATGTCATTTTTGACTTTTATATATAATATATCCATGGGGGTGCGCACGTGCGCAGGTGCGCACAAATTTTAAACCCATTTAAATAAATGCTAATAATAATAAATAATTATAAAATATTTAAGCTAGTGTTACTATCTGAAATTTATTTAATAATAAAATTAAAAAATCTAAAATTCAAAAATTTTATTTTTAATGAAAAAATTAGTAAATCTGAAATTTTTTTTAAATTATAATTAGTTTTGAAAAAGCATAAAAATAGTTTAGGCAATTGATTTATTATAAAAATAGTTTTGGATTAAATTTTAATTAAACAAAAATTTTGAAAAAAATAGTTTTAGCAAATATTTCTTAATTTAATCATTTAATAAATACATTTAATAAATATAAAAATAAATTCAAAAATAAATAGGTTGCTATTAAATTATAATTCAACTTAAGTTTTAATATTAAATATTAGTCAATTTAAATTTAAATAAGGGTAGTGACATTTATTACGTAATATTCATTTACTATAAGCTTATACCCACCTACTCCCATGTAATATGAAAAATCTTACGTTATACTTATATGTTATATAACCTTTAAATACCTTCACATCCCCTAAAATATTACGTAATAAATGTTATTACCCTAATAGTTGAATAACTAGTCTAAATATAAATAATTGACATCTGAATTATGCCAAAAAATTTGACCTTAATTTGATTTAGATTAGATTATTATTCATCTAATTAAATTCAAGTTGAATTATTCTTGTTTAAATACATTTCAAAATACTTTTTTATATTTTTTTTAACTAATTTCATTAATTTTTATTGCTGTATTTGGAAAATTAATTTTTTTTACTAAAAATTTTACAATTATTATATAAATAAAATCTTTTTAATATTTAATTAAAGTTAATTCACCTATTTTAAATCTATTACTAATCACCTATAGATTTAAAATATTTTTTAATAATAAAAAACTGTAATAATACTCCAATGTTTTGTTCTTGTGTATATTAGATCTTATAATTTATTTTTTTAAAAGTAGAATTATTTCATAATATAATTATTCAAATGTAGATTTAATTAATTTAAAATATTTTTTAAATTTAAAATTCAATATTATATTATTATCTGAGAGGCATCAATGATTATGTATAAATAGTTTAGTAATAGTCTAACAAAGTATAATCTTATCACCTATTTTCTTTCTTTCATTAATTAGCTTATAGAATTGATATATATGAATATAATTTTATTGCGTATATAAATAATAATGAAATAAATTTCATATTTGATATTGCATATAAAATACTATCAGATAACTATAAAATTTTGCTTTATATGATTCTATGGAATATCGGATATATTTAATTAAACTAATATTAAGAAATTGTCCTATTTTTTTAAATTGATACATTTATTAATTTTTATGTTATGAATACAATAAACTTATAGGTAAAATATTGGAATTTTTCTCTTCTTTAAAGATTCTTCAAGTTTATTATATTTAATAAATATAATTATTATTAAAATAATTATTAAAATTTCAGTTTTATTACTTATTACTAAAAAAAATTATATTTTATTTATTAAAAGTTATAATAGTAAATCTTAATTTTAATATAACACCAATTTTATGTAAATCAAAGATTAAACTATTAATCTTAATTTCAATCTAATTTTAATTTTAATCTTAATTTCAATTATGGAGTTTGTAAAGATATTTAATATAAATAATAATTTGAATAATATTGAATATAAAAAAATAGTTAAATAATTTTAAGAAGATTTAAATAATATTTAAATAAATATTAAATACATTATAAGTTCTTTATTTTTTTGCATAAAAAATAAACAAATTTTTAACAATTAATAATACTTTATAAACTTAAAGTTTAAAAATTGTTCAAGTATATATAAAATCTATTTTAAAAAAAGAAAATTAATAAAAGATCATATATTTGTACAAATAATAGAAAACAAAAAAAACTATAATTACTATTATAAAAAAATATGGTTTTTTTATATTTATACTCATAAAAATTAAATTACAAATGGTTTTTAATTTATTAAACAATTTTAACTAAATAAAAAAAGTAATTTTATCTAAAATAGTGAAAATTAGTAAAAAAGAATTTGAAAATTAGTACTATATAAAAATATAAATATTATATTTAAACTTAACAACTTATTGGTTATATTAAAATAATTTTAAATAAAATGGCCAAGTTTTCATATTAATATTTTTGTTTTGAATACTTTTAAAAAATATTTATCATTATTTTTTAAAGAAAATTGTATGTAATTATATATATATTATATAATTTATATAAATTATTAATAATTTTGCCATAATTTTTTTAGTGTTTAAAAGTAAATTTTTAACCAAAAATTATAAAAGTTATGATATTTGCAAATAATTGTGTGTAAAAAATTACATATTTTGATTGGCACAATTCAAAATACTAAATACAAATAAATCTCATATATATCATTACGTCATTTTATTTTATAATAACTTATCAGTTATAAGATTAGATTGATGATTTACAATTGATGCACCCCTATCTTGTGAAAACAAATGGTGAGAAAAAAAAAAAAATTTATAATTTGCATACATTAAAATAATTTGCATAAAAAAAACCCAAAAAAGATTTGATTTTTTTACCATTTGAATTTAAAAGAATCAGGCAGAATATGGTGAATTTATAGATCCGGGATCAAACCATATCAAGTAAATATCAAGTGTAGATAAATTCTCACGCGTAAAAAATGTTAATGACACTAAAAAGAAACGTATAAGAACAATGTTTAAGACAAAAAAAAAAAAAAAAAAAAAAATTAACGGGACCCTTCACTAAAATCGATCAGAATTTCGAATGGAGTACTTTGAAATACTTTTGAAATAATAATATTAATATACTAAAAAAAAAAATAAATAACGAAGAATTATTGGCTATTTTAGATATGTGGGATAAATAAATTTTTAATATTGTTGGGAAAAAAAAAATCCAATGAAAATTTCACCACAAACAATTTCTGTAATAGGATAATAGATTACGCCGAATTTACCGAATATATTCTTTTAGAACTTGAAGTATTGTTTTTAAGTTTCAACTTACTGTTTAAGGTTCAATATAAACCTTATAAACCTTTTATTATTATAAAAAAACACAAAATCAATCAAAAGTACCAACTTTCGGTCATACCGAAATCCGAACATATTTTTAAATAATAATAAGAATTAATAATTTTATTATTGTTAATATTATTTAATAATAAATTTTTATGATCATTACCAGATTTCTGAAACAATTTAAACTTTCCAAATTAGTAAAGTGATTTATAAAATCGAGTTCGTTTATTAAGAGGAAACCTTTATTTGCCACGTTTAAATGCACATTATATAAATAACTTTACAATATGTGAATAATATTTACATTAGGGTTACCATAATCTGTAATCTGCTGCTGTGAAACTTACAAAATAGGGTTCATTCATTATTCTATTAACCACATTGATTTCTTTAAATGGTTAGATTAAAAAAGATAAGCCATTAAGTAAGGGAATAAACCGGAAAAATGGTAAAGTATATATCTAGAGAAATTCTATGGTTCAGGGGTAAGAGATATCATCGTAAGGTTCAGGAGCTTTTTGGCGAAAGGTATAAATAAATAAATTGATTATTTATATACTTAATTTGTCAACAAAGTATTTTTTTTTTACTCAAAAAATTTGAGAAATTTCTGATTGGTTAAAGAATTATTTTACCGTTTGTTAAAGAATTAAAAATTGTCCCTTGAAAGTTTAAAAAATCAATATTTAATGTATAATACCTTATTTAACAAGAATAGAGTCAATGGACAGTCGAATTTCATGTGGTTCCTCATTTACTTTATCTAGTTCAATTGATTCCTTTTCGCAAGAGAATATACAAGTTCAAAATCCTGTTAAAATAACCATGAATATTCAGTCATTTTAATTAAAAAGGTAAATGTTTAAATGAGCCCCAGTTTAATATGATTTTTTAAAAATGGAACAATATTTATTTGAAACTAAGTATAATAATCATTTTTTTTTTTTTATGTCTCTAAAAAAATTAAAGAAAAAACTTAACATTTTAGGTAGAATTAAATGTAAATCTGGAAAAAAAAAAAAAAAAAATTTTTTTTTTTTTTTTTTTTGAAGTTTCAAAATTTGAAACTTAAAGATAAAAATTTGTGCGTTTTATAAAGACATTTTTGGATTGTTTCACGATTTTTTCTTTTCATATCTTTCATATCATTAACAACTGCTTTAATCGACAACTTTAAAAAAAAATCATTACATACACATTGATTCACTCACAACAATGTTTAAGCGTGTGGTGATACTATTGTTTTGTTATAAATTCCATCGATGACGTTTCCAATGCATGTGGCATGTGCATGTATTCAAAATAGATAAAAAAATTCAGTGAAACGCGACAGAATATCATTTTTTTATTATCTAATATATTTGACAATCTACACGAAATCAAGGAGAACTTAATGGAAACGTAGGAGCTCAAGTATATAAATATATGTATATTTTATAAAATGTTATCGCGGTTTTAATTAATATATGAATGAATACTTTATACTTTGTTGGGAAGAATGAATTTTCTTTGTAATAATTTTTTGATTCATAATAGCTTCGGTGATATATATAAAGGCTTGGAATACGAGGGAAATAATTTCAAAAAATTCAAAAAAAAAAATAAAAAAATAAATTAAAATAAAAATTCGAATTCACTTAATTCCCTTCTCAAAATTTTAATAAAGTTTGAAACTTTATTATATTTATTTCGTAACTTTTCGTAAAAAACTTCTTTTATACCTTAATCATAATATATCATGGCCACAATCATTCCTAGCGAAGATCACTATTATGCAATAAATTATACTCCTGTAGATTTTATCGAAGGTGTACCAGCGACATATTTTCTATTCAGTTTACGTGAACAAGGAGAACTTCATTTTAATAATTTTGATACAGCTGATGCTGAGCTTCGTGTTGAAGGACTTACTACTCCATTCTGGGTACATAAAGATTATTTAATATTGCAATCTCCTTTTTTCCGTGAAATATTTAGGGAAGCTTCACAATCCTCTGATGACTCTTTAATTGTTATTAATCTCCCTTCTCCTGAAACTTTTGCTCCTTTATTGGAATATTTATATACTGGTAATGATGAAAAATGGTACGATACGATGGATAGGAATAATTATTATGATGTTTGGTTGAATGTTGACTTTTTGGGTCTTGGGAAAGAGGCTAGAGCTATTTGTTTTGCTTATTATCAAAATGAGATTTTAGAATCTGAAGAAACTTAGATAAAAATTACTATATAAAACTTTTGGCAAAAAAAATTATGAATACTAAAATTCGGCTTATAAATTTTTTATTTCTTAAAAAAAATCGTCAATCGGCAAAACTCCTCGAATTAATTAACAAAAAATTTTAACAACAATCGTTTCTTACAAATTGGCAATCTCGTATTTTTTTTTTTTTCTTCTTTCGTTATTTTTTTTCTTTATTTTTCGATTATTAAATTTATTTTCATTCGCGTATCATTTTTTTTTTCATTTTTCACATTTCGATTCGACATTATTTATTTATTTTCTCATTGTTCGATTCATTTTAATTTCTTCACGTGTCTCATCCATTCATTTTTTACATCAATATTTATATTTATTTTTGTTTTTTTCCCAAATAATAAATAAAAAAATAAAAAAATTACATTCTCAATATCTCAATATCCAGTGTTAGTAAATCACGTGTTGTACACGTGCTCGTTCTTATTGGACAAAGATATAAAGATATGTAGATGTAAAGTTGCATCAATGAAAAACATTTTATATCTTCTCTTACAAGTATTTAATATTACATACATCTTACATACATTTCTTGATATTATCTTTCAGGGATAAAATAACTATTATACTATAAAATTATGAAATGTCGGATATTACTGAAAATATTTCAATTCAATTCTCGTTTCAGTCGTTTATTATTCATAAAAATATCACAATATGAAAATTCTTTAAAAATACATTTTAGGTTAAATTAATTTACGAATTAAATATACAAATACAAAAAAAGTTATTAGTAAAAGAGTACTTTTATATTTTATATTATTATTATTATTGCATGTAATTTTATAATTTAATAACTCCGGTACATTTTTTATTATCTAGAATTATCTGGAAATTTTTTTTTTGTTGTTGTATATATATAGTTTTATTCGTACCCCTCTTGTCATACTCACATACTTTTCTGTTGATGATTGGTTCCCATACTTTTTTTATTTTTCAAATAAATTTTTGACCAATAATATTTTGTTTGCAACTTAAACTGGTTTAGTTAATCTTTCAACATTATATAATTTCCCGTGATGTAATTATTTGTGCTTGCTGAAAAAATTTTATGTCGTACGAAAAGAACATAATGTAAATCACGAATTTTTTTGAACGGTTAATGGTAATAAATGACTTAACATAGTAAATATGTGTATATACTATATATGCATATTATATATTCTTTTTATTCGCGTTAAAAAAAAAAAAGAGATTTTAGTAGAAAATTCATCATTGTTGAATATTAGATTATTCTTTTTTTTTTTT